GCTTAAGCGATCCTAGGTCTCTCTCAAGTGATAAGGTAAAGTCGCTTAAGCGATCACTTACAAGCGAGGATCAGGATCACTTAAGCGATGCCTCACTTTTACCCTTGGTCGCTTAAGTGATCTTGTACAAGGCATAATCAATACGTGCCCAGATGCACGATCGCTTAAGCGATTCACATGCTCGCTTAAGTGATTTACGCTTTTACCCTTAGTCGATTTTATGATAAGAAATCGCTTAAGCGATCAAGTCCATGACAATATAAGCTTCTGTCCAGATGCACGATCACTTAAGCGATTTATTTTCTCGCTTAAGCGATCCTTTATGAAAAACCCTTTGTCGCTTAAGCGATAATTCTAGTTGCTTATATGTCGCTTAAGCGATCATGGGCAATACATTTTTTTTCCAGCTTTTCTCCTGAATTTTGACAAACCAAAATCACCAACACATATTAATTCCATACTTTCTCCTGAATTTGACAACCTAATTGCATCAACACAACAAGGCCATGTAACAAGAATACTAAATATCAAGGATGATTTATTTAAGGCAACAATAAAATTTAAAACATAAAAAATTGAAAACAACAACTCCTTAACGGTTGGCCTTGGCAACTCTCTCGATTTCATCCCTTATCGAACCTAATTTTCTGGATCTGCATGTGATTGATTCTAGTAATTGCTTCTCTTGTGGCCAGGTTGCTTGCAAATTGAGCACTTATTCATCCTCCGAGGAACCTTAGATGCTGATGGAATACGCTTAACTCTTTTTCTCCTTTTTCCTATCTTCTTGAATGGCGGATGGATGATAATGTTAGCTAACTCTGGCGGCACTACCCATTGCTCTTCTAGAGGAACTGGATATATTGTTTTTGAATAAGCCAACATCTAGTGATTTGCCGTATAGAGAGGGGAGCAAAGTTCCATGTAAATTCTTGAACCAAAATCCAGCTTTTGTTGGTGTTTCAATGCTGCTAGTGCATGAGGACAAGGTAAACGTTGAATGTCAAGCCCTTTACAGCTGCAAGTTTTACTAATAAGGTTAACTAGGGCATCCGGACTATAGTCGCGCACGGTGAACTCTTGAGCATTAATAGGATAGGCAAACAGTGCATTTGACAGTTCCATACATTCTCGCAATAATTTTTCAGCTAACAAAACAGGGTTGTAGTAAAATTATCTGACTTCATACGACGCTTATGAAACCATCGTGACAATGTCCTCTGGATTGTATCAAAAAGGGCAACTATTGGAAACTCTCTTTCTATTAACAACTTCGAATTTATGGACTCGGCTATGTTCGTGGTCATGATATCAAACCTTCTTCCGGGAAAGTAAGCTCTACTTCATCGCTTGAAACCAACATCATGCTCAAGATACTTACCAATTTTATTATCCTTGATTCGGATTTTCCGAAAGTGCTCCTTGAACTCATCAACTCGATAAGTTTTTGTTGCCATGTAGTATGTCTGAAGGAGGCCAGTGCACTTAAACTTTTGCTTTATGTTCTCACCAAGGTGCCTTATACAGAATCCGTGATGCGTTTGAGGGTAAATAGTGGCAATCCTCTTCTTTATAGAGTTGTGCCTATCGGATATTATGCACAACTCGTCACTGTCAGGCACTATCGTACATAATTGCTGAAAAAACCAAGTCTACGACTTGCCATTCTCAGAGTCAACCACACACCATGCAACGGGATATGTGTGATTCTCTTTGTCCTGTGTCGTGGCCACCAACAATGTACCTCTATACTTTTCAGTCAAAAAGCAATCATCAACAGCCAACACCTTTCTCATATTTACGCCCTTATAGCAAAACCATAAGCAACAAAAAAAATATATTTAAACATCATATTCTTGTCCCACTTCAAAGCCGTCTTGCTACCTTGGTTTGTCAACTCAAGCATATAACTGTATGCTTCTAATACTGCGTACCCGTGCTCCAGCGTGCCCCTCACAAAATCTTATGCATGTTGCCTCCCTTTCCAACATTTCCAGTAACTAACAGCACATCCCAACTCTATGCACACAAGTCTCCGAATGTCTTTAGGAGATGGACATTTCCCTTCAACGAACTGACTTTTGACAAATTGTCCAATAACATCAGTGGAGGCTTGTCGATGCTCACCTGAAATATGTCCCAAACCACATGTGTGCTCACGCGTATATGTGCTAAGAATAAATTTTTCGGACTTTGCCAACCTTTTACAATAAACTTGCCACTTGCACATTTGCTTAGGACATGCAACCGTCACAAAGGACATGCAACCGTCACAATCGATGAATTAGACTTTTTGGTGATGAACTCAAAATTACCTCTCACGACAACAAGTTTTAGCTTCCTCATAATTTCCTCATTGTTGTAAAATAAATACCCTATGTACAACTCCGATCTATCCATAAAAACATGAACTGATTCACTACTACCTGCAATTGCCCCCTCTGAACCTGCGTAAAGGACCATAGTGTTCTCTTCCTCACAAACTACACCTTCTGCATAATCTGTATTTAAAGGAATCTCTACATCTGCGGGAACATGTACGGGGTCCTCCTCCTCAACATTTTCATTATGCCACACATGACCAACCTTTTCTACAGTGTCCTCCTCACCACCTAAATCACCGCCTACTCTTGATTTTTCAACCAACAAATCAATGCCCTCGTAGTTCAAATTAAAACCATCCAAATCTCTGCCAACTTCCTTGTTATCCCCTTCCTTTGAACCAACTTCCAATGGTTTATCTACAAAAAAAACCCTTAAAATCGGCCTCGAACCATTATCGCCCATATCAATCATATATAACTTCACACCTTCATCCGACTTTAATATAGCAGGAGATACCTTATAATGTTTAGGAACTCTGCTTAAAACACACTTCAAACTATATCACTATGTGAGCAACTCAAATCACCTCTTCTAATTATTTCATCAATCAACTCATCAAAACAAACCTCTGTGTTCACAGCAATTGGTCTAACTTCTTTGCTTTTCCCAATCCACTTCCAACAACTTTCTTCCTCCACCCACTCACCAAAATATTCAACACCCAAAACAATTTGTCCCATGTCTAATAATAGCCAAGTACCTATAATGCAAGAAAAAAATATATTATTAACTGATGTATTAAGGGTTGAAAGATTTTAAAAAGCATCTGCAGAGTAGCTTGAGTGATATGGTGTATCGTTTAAGCGATTCAGTATATCGTTTACTGGATCACTTAAGCAATTCGGTATAAATAAGCCTGATCACTTAAGTAATCTTATGCCATTTACCTGATCGCTTAAGCGATCTGCTGCTATACACCAGGCTTATAACAGATCGCTTAAGCTATATTCTGCCATATACCTAATCGCTTAAGCGATCTACGAATTGTTGCATTATACCAGACATACCAAATTGCTTAAGCGATACACCAGATCTCTTAAATATCGCTTAAGCAATCTACGAACTGCTGCATTATACCAGACATACCAAATTGCTTAAGCGATACACCAGATCGCTTAAGCGATCCATCATATCCAAAACACATTTTCAGTCACCTCCACCTACAATCGGTGCTACCACCCCCAGCTACCCACAATGCAAGAAAATATTCAACAAATTTCACTCCTTTCAACTTCCATTACATCAAACAGAACCCAACAACCTAAACAACTAAATCAAAATCATAACCCAAACTCAATCTATCCTTAAATCTTTGTAAATCGAAATATAAAATCGAAAGGGGAGATAAACATACCAGGACGAAATGTCAGGAAGAGGAGGAGAAGGATTTGTGGCGAAGAAGATGTTAATGGCAGAGGAAGAAGATAGTGTTAATGGCGAGAAGAAGAAGATGTATAGGACGGAGGAAGAAGAAGATGTACAAGAAGAAGAGGATGTAGACGAAGCTTACAAGAAACAACAACCAGGGGAGGAATGCGTTAATGATGCAGGAGGAAGAAGAAGAAGGTGTTTGGGTTTGTTTGCAAGAATTTTGGCTCTTTGGGGACATATTATAATTTTTAAAATATTACACAATACTTCATTAATCCTAATTAACCCCTAATTATGTTTAATTAACCTTAATAAAAAACAAGGCTATTTAGTTAACACTTACAAACTATATAGTCTTTTAATTAAATTTTAACTTCAAATGGCCTTTTAATAAAATGCCCCCCATAGAAGACATGGGCAAGTTACACAAACCAATTCAAAACGGTTCATAAACCTTTGGACTTTACTGGTTATATGACTCAGGTTCTTTTTTTCGTTTTTGTTTTTTTTTTTTTTTTTTTTTAATTTATAGAAGAATGATGCATTAGTCAAGATAATGCTTCCTACGAACTTCACAATTTCATTCATCGTAAATCTAGCTATTAAATAATTCAAACAGTTACAAGTTTGGTTAAAGCACTTATAAATGATTGATAAATAGTTGACGCGTTTAATAAAATGTAACTTATAAATACATTTTACTATTAAAATGACTAAAAATGATACTACGTTATTAAAAATAAGAATATAAGATGAAATTTTAAAATAAAAAAGAGATAATATTGTAATATAATTTGTCAAAGTAATTTATAAAAAAAATGCTTATAAGAAAAGAAAAAATTAATACCTTCCTCCCAACTTTTTTTTTTCTTTTTTTATAAACTCAGCTTATAAGTCCAAAAAAATTATAAACAAATATATTAACTTAATTTTAAAGTTTATAAACTAGTTTAACTACCATATAAACTCAGATAAACCCCCCTATTTAGTGACTTTCCAATTATACTCTTAACGAAACAATAAAAGTTATATCAGTAATATATAACGCTGGATTATATTAAACTCAATAGTCGATACAATCATGCTATTTTAATTTAAAGGCAATTAGGTTAAATCGTGTAATTTAATGGTTAAATCTAATCTTTTAAGAAAAATCTTTATTTTTTTTCATTATTATAGTACTTCTTTCATAATATGGACGAGACTACATTCCACAAGAAGTCGGCAACGTTACTAGATCAATATTAAATCGAAATTTGATATGTATTTATTAAAAAAAAAAAAATGCAATTCTATGTTGTTTCTGTAGCTACATTAAATTGAAACTCAATAACAAATATTAAAAATAACACATATAGGGAAAGATCAACTCATTTCCCCACCATTGCAAATTTAAAAGTCTCCCATCTCCACTCCTGTATATTGCAATAGATTACCCAAAACTGTTTGTAATTTTCCCATCAATTTTTTGAATACCTTCAAAAATCATTTCTGCATTTTCTAACATATACATAATTTCTGTATCATTTCGCTCGATCAGGACTCTCTAACAGTTCATAGACTAGCTGCAACAGATAGCAGTGACGCTTTCAAATGAACTCTCTCATTGATCTAAAATGGGGTTATTCTCTGGGTGATGCTTTGGTTCTGTATGATGATGGTGATATTAGAACGTCCTCGAGTATTTCCTGATTTCATACATGATTGAAGATATGGAGACAAGATCCTTGTTCAGTGCAGACCCACCGTTAATCCTCTTTATGCAGTCAGAGAGTCTGGTGTAATAAAGCAGCAGCTGTGTCAATGCAGCCCTCAAGATCTCCATACCGCACAGGAAGTTGCTGAAAGAAGTGATGACGTCTTTGTGCATCAGCTCGATTGCAGCTTTCCATCTGCTCGCAAAGTCCTTAACAAGTGGCTCGACTTCAGCAATGGATATGGGTTTGTCTGAACTAGAACTTGGGTCCTCCGCTGATAAGAGAATGGGCCAAGAAGATCATTTCCAAAAGATTACTAGCACGTCACAATAACAAATGGGTTAGAACTTACAGGCTCGAGTCTTCACAAACTTGATTAAATCACTAAAATGCTCCAGCAGCAGTTCTTCCTGCAAATAAAAGAGGTCACAATAAAGCACATTGCGGAATGAATTTTCAAGAGAGGCAAAAGAGCTTAACGACGTATATAACTGAGATAAGAAATCTTCTTAAAAACATTCTTATTCTTCCCTTCTATGCCACCATGCAAAATTATGAGATTACATCCAACATGATAACTAGCACTTTTTTGCCACTAAAACAAGAGGTTCATAACCAGCAGGTATGCAATTGTTTTTCACAACTCTGTAAATCCAGGTTTCATACAACCAGTCCATTCTACTTATTAATTATACTTGTCGCCTACAAGCTTAAAGTCAAAATCAGACAGAGACTTGGCCACAGCCATGAACCAAAAACGTAAGTCCGCTTTGGGGTGTAACACTATCTTTTGAAAAGGGTCTTTTTGACAAACATAACATGTGTGTTTCATGAACAAGAATGCAAGTTAGAAGTTTGAAGGAGATTGCTTTCAATCCTTCAGAATTAGTAACAGAAAAAGGTAGCTTCCGTTCCTTTTGCTTCGCTTTATGTTCTTATTTTTAACACAAGCAGTAAGAAAAGAAAACTTGCAGCCAAGGGTTAGCTGCCATTATTAAATTTTTCTATCAACAATAAATTTTCATTTTGCATGCAAACAAAATCTAGAACTTGAATTAGTCATTGCTTACCACAAATAATGCTGTGTTGCTCTTCAACAATTCCTCGAAGTGCATTTGAATTTTCCCACCTTCAGGGCTAGCTTCCTGGCATCCAAATGACAATTTAATTAGAAACAGAGAGCCCCACAAGGCATAATAATATAATTGTTCTGCACAACAGGAGCAACTGCTCTCCTTATAAAAGGTACAACAGCCTAAGCCAAGAAAATTCTCCAAAAAGTACCCTACAGGATCTCCACCTCTGTGCATATGAAAATTTTGTAATAGCCAGCATGAAGAATCATAGTTCTCACCTTTAGTACAGCAATTGTCATGTCGTAGTTATTTATCAGAAACACAATCTGTAATTTTGGTCTTGGAAACATTTTTGCAAGCTTCATAAGCAATTCATCTACAGCCATTCTCAACCGTTCCATATTCAATTCAAGCTGCAGATACAGAAGGCTGCATATTTAAGTACTCTTACTGAAACAGTCAAACAAAATAACAGTTTATGAGTTCAGTTTCTCAAAAGCATCTCACCTGGCCATCTCCATATTCAACATTGAGGTGAATAAGAGAAGCTGTAAATTCAGCGTAACGCCTCATTACATAATGAGGATGAATATCATCTTCCCACAGTGTCCTCACATTTGCATTACGCAAACTACCAAGATGCAAGTCAAAAACCATCTTAAAACGAGGCCACAGGGAAATATTGACCTGCTCATATTCAGTAAAAAAGTTAGCCTATTTTGGGATAACTTTTGCCTGCAAGGTACAAAAGATAACAGACCTTGTCTAAATATGAATCCAAGCATGGGATCCGCCGCCGAGACATGATGAGCTGTAACAGAAAATGAAAAAGAAAAAAGAACATCAGAGGCAAGTTCAGATTGTAATTGCAAAGACAACTCTACTAGCTCTCTTTTAAAAGTGCAAATTTGAAAAAAGACACTGCAAAAATATGCTGAGAGTCTTTAACAATTTGAAAATAGGACTTTTTAAGAGACTCTTAACACAAGAACACTGCAATCACAAGAGCTTGTAACATCACCTGGTGCTGGTGTATTATGCGAATCATAAGCATTAACCCAATAGCATCATAACAATTTGGCAGTATTGAGTTGAAGTGCTCATCAATGACTGCAAATGGACCTGATAATATCAAAGATGACATGAGAAGTTCTTATATAATGTCTCGTACTCAAAAATATGATATTCATCCTCAGTCCATCAGGCAAATAAATGATTTACAACTTCAAGATTATTGGAAAAACTCTTAAGTGCATTTACAATATACATTTACTAAATGCATTTTGTTTATACCCAGAAATCCCTCAAGTTTTCCCTGCATGGGCATCGAAATCTAAACTAAAGGCTACTTCCCAACCCTACAACCTTGTTACCCAGAAAACAAGTGATATATAATATACCAAGTAGGTGGCCCCTAGGGGATTTAAATCCTTGACCTCTTCAGTTACAATTAAGGGATTTTACCACTATGCCCAACCCTTGGATTTTTTAATAAATGCAAATAACAATCCTATCAGTACCATTGATTATCAAAGGCAAATAAGTCAGTATCAGTTGCATGTCAAATATACTGTTCTCTCTCCTCTGCATTTTGTCTTTTCTTTTTTTGATGTTTTTTTCTTTTGGCATACTAGACATGTTCTTAGGCTAGGCCTCTTCTGATGCATATCTTGACCTTATTATTTATTACCTGCGAAAATTTCATAAAATATAGATTCTTCCCCAAAGAAATCATCACAGAAAAGATACCTGCAAATTAGAGAACAAAAGAGTCATAAACTATACAACAGACTTGACATTCACTTTACATCTAGAAAACAAAATCAAGGAGCAGGGCAAAAAGGTACTCAGAAGTTGCAGTATCCATAAGCAGCTTGTGTAAGCTCCGGAAAAGGACCTCATAAGGATACTTTAAGGAGCTGGCTTCAGATATATGTGGAATCAGGGCAGGTTGATCAATTTCCTGAAACCAAAAAAAGATTCAAACCATGGAACCTCATTTGCCAGCAAAGAATGATAGATTTCATAAATAGTGAAACATTTCGTTCATACACAGGAGACATATCCCACACATCACTTTTCTTCTTTTCTTCCCACCCCACCCCCCTAGATATCATCATTTCACATCTCTTTACAAAACTGTCATCTTTCATAGATATAATAAATTATAAATTTAGGGACAGTTTAAGGAAAAAACAAAAAGTTTAATACACGTATCTAATTATAAAGTGGGGAAAGTGGGGGTGCAGGTGTTTGAAAACTGAGAAAAGTAGGAAACAGAAACGACTATGAAATAGCAGGGGAAAAAAAATCTTAAGAGAGCCTATTTTCAACAATATTCCAATTCTTCTGCACACTGCAAAATCATAACCTGACCTGATGCCACTAAAATCTTAAACACAGCAAAAAGTAATTAACACAAGTTTACAGCATAATTCACATTCTTTATCTTATCAGACACCACATTTTTTTGAGTATGTGAAAAATAGGCTCAGATTTCCTTTACTACTATATTGTCTTTGGTATTTACTTAACCAAAGCAACAAAGACAGGAAAGGATATATTTCAACAGGCATTCTATGTTTCTATATTGGCCCAATTGAGGAGAATTGGATCCATTATAATCAAAACATAAAAATTTAAATAAGACTGCTACAAAACAAAACCTAACAAAGATTGCCCATCCAATAAATTGGAATAAGAATCAGACATGTATATTTTCTGTAATATTCCCAAGAAGAGGCCAAGGTAAAACAATCAGTGATTAAAGATCACAACACATTTGATTTACCATGCGATCCAGTGAGAAACTCAACGTATAATCCAAAATATCAGGGCAAACAATATTTCACAGTCAGTGAAATAAAATTAAACCTTTAAAATGTTGATCCTATCCCCCAGAGCAAAAACAGCAGAACGATTCTTCAGTGGTTCTCTTCCTCTTGAAAAAAGACTAGTGCTTCTAGTCTCTACACCAATCAAATCACTATATGTTGCTATATCTAACTGGAGTTTCTCCAACGCTTGTATATAAGCACGGAAATGTGCACTTAAAACCTGCAAATGGAACAGCAAAGTATCAATATATGCGAGAATATTCTTACACTAGAATCTGTAAGAATCATCCTGATCTTTTCATCTGTTAAAATGTCATAATCTCATCATATGCAGATAGCAATTAAAGAAACATGGGTGTAATACATGTAGAACAACATATGCTTATCTTTCAGGAAGTGATTAACTAAATAACAGTTACATTAGAAGTGATCTGATACATAAAATCTTAGCACTGTAATATATGCAGCACAACCATTAACACAGAAATTCAAAATAGATCCACCATTCTGTCCTTCCAAAGTAGAGATAGGTATCTCAGCAAAACTTAAGTGGCATATTATTGGATACGGTAAATCAAAACAACAGTCATATTAATTGCACTAACAAATATATTTCTATATCCAGCTGCAACATAGCTACCTACTTAATCCATGATCTTTAAAAAAAAATCTCTTAGCTTTTGAAGTTAACAACACAAGAAGTTACAAAATAGCCATCCAAACTTTCCACAACCTAAAATGAATCCAGCTTTACTTGCTTAAGCTTGTCCTCAATAAATCCACCACAAATCAAAGCACAGTGTGAGCTTATTTACTCAAAAAATGAGCTTCAAGTAATACCCTTTCATAGTCGCTAGTTTGCCATTAAGAATCAGCAACCATGGCAAAAAGGTCAAACAAAAAGTTGAGCCCAGAAGCCTTAGGTACAGGTATTAATATTTTAAACAAGAACAAAAAGAACAAGCACAACATACAGGTGGTAAGCAGTGTCAATTATCTAAAAGAACATCATCCAAAAGTCTGAAGTTTTTGGGCACTAATTTGAAGATATATGATGAACTAACTCTTCATTCAAGAAAGATATTCCGAAATTGTATTTTCAGCGGAACCAATTAAAAAATGTGGTAGTTTTGGTACGTGCCAAAAAGATTAAAAGAAGTACCTATTTAGGACTAGGTCACTACAATTTTAAGGTCCCAAGTCAAGTTTTGAGATTAAATTATCTTCAAAGTTTGCTAGCTTGATAGAAAATACACTTCCACATATTTCAAGAGAAATATTGAAAGCTAAACTTCAACAGAAAGAAAGGTTGAGTTCTCCCGACCAATTGGTTACTCACTAAAATTTTTTAGTGGCCATAAAGACAAGAAAATGATTGATAGGTATGCTAAGAATTACTAAGCAGAATAACTATTGTTACTATTAAATTCTTCATAGAGTTTCAGAACAAATGCTCCCCCGTATGGTGCAATCCTTTCCCAGAGAGGAGAAAAAAAAACTAATACAAATTACCTGATTCATAAAAAATCAAGAATAGAAGATAAAGGGAAAATTTTGAAAAAAGTATAAAACAAGGAACAATTATAAAGTTAACATATGAAACAGCAGATGGCCCAAATAATCCACACAAATAGTAAAAATCTAAAGGTTGCAGTCATGGCAAAATTGTGCTTCAAATGCATGATAAGTTCTAAAGCAATCACCTTGTTCATTGTGTCAATATAAGCAGCACGAACCTCATTATAAACCTCCTTGCCATGTTCTTTAAGAAAAGAAATAACATACCTACATTGTCAAGTTTTTTTCATCAAATTATGGTGAAAAGAGTGAAATTAAGAGTACAAGAAAAAAATTAAAAGCTTAAAAAGAATAGTGACACTTTTTTACTGACAATTTAATAACACTACTAACCAACCTATCAAGGACAAACAACCATGAAACAGTGGTGCAATATGTAAAATAAACTAAAATAATTTTTAAAAATCAAACTACTAATAGCATCCAACTTAAATCAGTAGCTAATGGTATCACATAAATCAGATGTCATACAAACTAAAACTGTTCAGTTATGATAAACTCCAATAACGCTTCTAGTTATAGAGTAGAATCAAGATATTGAAAAATGATCAAACACAGGACCAAAAAGATAAATGCACCATATAGATAGCTCACTTGTATTTAAGAAGAACATTCTGCTGAAGGATCTGAATGTTTGTTTTGGGTTTTCTCAATGCATAAAGCTTCTGGACAATGAAGTCAAAAACCTGCAAAACGATAAAGATAGTCACAATGAATTCTTGTGCCCTTGTTAGCAAACAAAGGTGCAGTGAAGAAAAGTTCACTGCATGGTCATTTGACATCATTTACTTCCCTATTCAAAACTATCATCATTGTTTTCGTAAGAGAAGTCATAATTCTAAACCAAGCTCAGGTGAACACCTGGGAACACCATTTAACTACCTTTGAAACTGCTTTCTGCCTCAGTTTTTCAAGCTCCGGCTAAACATCTTTAAGGGCTTTTAAAGTTTTAACCATAAAATCCACTTCAACAAATTTCAGCTTCTTACTTAAGATCTCAAGTGTTCTCATATACTCCTCGTTGACCTAAATGAAAATTCCACTGAAAATATGTTAGTATGATGAAGGAAAGGAAAACCAGTGGCTTCCACATTAAATAGGATAACAAAGCAACATTTATGGTGAATAAGGAAATACTTGAGGACATATATGTGTATGTATCCACGTATAAGGTGAAATTATGGAATTTGACCAATCATAGGTTACGATTTAAGAAATGAACTAAAAGGAACAAGTGAAGTCTAGATCTTTCAATAAATATGATTTAAGCTCTAGGGGTTAGGGCACTTCAAAGAAGAAAGAAGACCAAACTGACCAAAGGAGTACATAAAATATTTTATATCTATAAAAAGAAGGGATGAACATAGAGTTCAAAGGAAGGAGTGCTCAAAATAGAGATGATCTAAAACAATCTTTTACAATCTTCAATTGGTTATATTTCCATTTCAGGTCTGCATCCCATCTAAAATCGATAAGGCTTACACATAGATTTCATGAAAACCCTAAGAACAAGTACTAGTATTGCAAAGCTTTTCCTAACAAATATGGTAACCGGTAAAACTTTTATTTTTTGGGTTAAGATACAGTACAATATTTTTTGCTATACAGTAAGGTGAACCATTGATCCATGAGAAGACATACAAAACAACAGTGGTACAAAATGCCTCTACTCTATAATCTCAATACACAATTCAGCATCCAACATTACTGGACAAAAGGCCACCACTTTCCAAAGATGAAAAACAAAGAAAAATCCTGAAATTCTTTATTTAAAAAACCTGTAAGGATATCAAAAGACAAGCTCTGCCCACAAGAAGGAAATCTCTCCTATTATAGCATCCTCCAAAATCCGTTTCCATCCATATCATCCAAAGGGTTGCAAGCACTAACATCGCTATAAAAACTTTTAGATTTTCTGCCCCACCAAAGTGCAGAAATACTCCCAAATCAAGAATATACAAGACTCATAATGACCCTCACCAACCTAGCTGCTCTAAAGAGATGACATCAGAACTTCAGTGAGAAGACAGATAGTATTATTGATACTCTCCATCACCTTTACACACAAACACACAAGTGATGAGATAAGTAAAACACAATACATTTTTTTGTAACTACTACAACTCATGCCCTCCCAAGAAAAAGATATCTTAAAATCTATATGGATCAAAAACTGAATCATGACAAGGACTTGCACACATAAACTTCGACCACATAAAGAGAGCGCCACTAACCCAGGAAAGCTTTAGGAAGAAAACATATGAGCAGTTGTAAAATAAAATAATAAAACCATCATGTTTAAATGAGAATCCAAATAAACAACAAAATACCTCTCCGTCAACAATTATATCTACCATCCTTGGAGGGATTATAATGTCTTCAACAAATTTTGCTAGTTTCGACTCCGCCACCTATTCAAAGAATATAACCAATTACCACATATATTCAAAAGATGGAAATGCATGAGAAAATAATAATAGTATTGACCTAGTGGCATAAAAATCATTTCCCTTAATGAGCAACAAACATTTAAGAAATTGAAACATAAGGTGCATATGAGAACAGCAATTGAAACTTAGTGTTCTGTATCCTAGTCAGTCCACATGTTGATAATCCACACGGCAATTGCTTTCTAATTGTTACAAATGTATATAACTTCCTGGATTATAGGGATTACATTGATATCCTGGATTATTGGGATCACATTGATATCCAGGATTATAGGGGTCACATTGATCTTGTATCCTAATAGGAATTGATCACCTACCTAGTTTAGAACACTACAAGTGTATATAAATATGTATACTTTTAATCTATGAATGAGAAGTGTGAATATTCTTCCTTAGTACGTTTTTACATGGTATTAGAGCCTTAAAAAAAGTAATTAGGGTTTGGGTTTTCAAATTGGGAACACTTGTTTAGTTTGAGATTTGTTCGACACCGCCACCCTAAGGAGATTTAGAAGCCGCCGATCGGCAAAACCCTGAGTTCCGATCATCAGAATCCCCGAGAGTGAGCTCCACGCACCACCCGAAACTCCGGTCAACAGTACCACATGCCAGCGCGTGAGAGCGCATCCACCGTTGACGTCTCCTCCGACTCTCTTCGTCTGCTTCACCAGCACTTGTACAACACATTTTCGTGCTAGATTGGGTAATCTCTTACCGGTTATTGCTATTCTTTGTTTGGATATTTATGAGGATTTAGTTGTGATTTTTTGGCACTCTGCTTTCGTTTGGTTACTGGATTTTTTTTTTTTTTGTTGTTGTGCTTTGCCTCTGGTTGGTGGTGGCTATTGATTGATTTGATGTGTCACTAACGTTTGGTTAGTTTGTTTTTTTTTTAACCATTTGTTGGTGTGCATTGGGATTATAGTTTGTTTAAGACATGTCTGATACAAAGCTAATGATGGAAATGATACTGACGATGTTGAAAATTACAGAACATAAACTCATTGGTATAACTAATTATCATGATTGGCGTAAAACTATTATATTGTATTTGCGGTGTATTGATAAAGATGATCATATGACTGATGATCCACCTAAGGATGATTCGAAAAAGACATGGCTCCAAGATGATGCTTCGTTGATTCTACAAATACGAAACTCTATTAACGGTGAGGTACTTGGCCTAATTAATCATTGTGAGTTTATTAAAGAACTGATGGATTATTTGGAGTTTCTGTATTTTGGAAAAGGGAATGTTTCTCATATTTATGAAGTGTGTAAGGCATTCTACCATGCAGAGAAACAAGATAAGTCTCTTACAGCTTATTTTATGGAGTTTACGAAGACTTGTGAAGTGTTGAACATGTTGTTACCCTTAAGTGCTAATGTCAAAGATCAACAAAAACAACGGGAGCAAGTGGCAGTCACAAGTTTTCTAGCAGGTCTTCCTTCTGAATTTGAGACTGCTAAGTCTCAGGTTCTAGCCAGTCCAGAGATATCTTCATTGCAAGATGTCTTTAGTAGGGTACTTCGCACAGAAGGTACCCCACTGACTCAGTTTAGTGGTGCTCTCATCAGTCAAAAGAATGACTATGAATCTGGGCGATCACAATTTGGAAGTGGCAACAAAGGAGAAAGGTCAAATAGTAATATAGGAGGAATTATGTCACTATTGCCATAAGCCAGGACACATGAAGCGTGATTTTAGAAAGCTTCAGAATAGAAATAAAAGAAATCCCTTTGCCCATGTTGCATCCACCAATGATACTTCAGATCAGTCAGTTCTTATCTCTACAAATGAATTTGCCAAGTTTTCATTGTACCAGGAATCATTAAAAGCTTCATCTACTCCTGTCACAGCTATGGCTGACTCAGGTAAGCTAAATACATGTCTCATTTCCTCATCCTCCAAATTCGTCATTGACTCTGGTGCAACAGATCACATGTCAGGTAATCCCAGTCTCTTTGCTACTTATTAATCAAAAACCCTTTCGAATGTGACTTTAGCAGATGGGTCACCATCCTGCGTTCTTGGGTCTGGCACAGTTACCCCTACCCCACAGCTTCCCTTGTCAAATGTCTTACATGTATCAGATTTTTCTTTCAATTTGATTTCTATTAGCCAACTTACTCATGCTCTTAACTGTTGTGTTTTATTCTTTCCCGATTATTGCTTGTTTCAGGATCTTACGATGAAGAAGATTATTGGTAAAAGACATGAATCTGGAGGTTTATATATTCTTGATAGACCAAAATCTACACCTGTCACTAGTTCTAGCGTTGCATCCCCGTTTCAAGCACATTGTCGTTTGGGCCATCCATCTCTTCCTTCACTAAGAGATTGTGTCCTCAGTTTAACAAAGTGTCTACATTAGAGTGTGAGTCGTGTCAGTTTGCTAAACATCATCGTGTCAGTTCTAGTCCTAGAGTCAATAAAAGAGCTAATTCTCCCTTTGAATTAGTTCACTCAGATGTTTAGGGTCCCTATCCAATTCTGTCTAAAACTGGTTTTAGATATTTTGTTACATTTGTGAACGATTACTCTCGTATGACTTGGTTATTCTAAATGAAAAATCGTTCTGATTTGTTTTCTTATTTCTGTGCTTTTTGTATTGAGATTAAAACTCAATTCAATGTTTCTGTTCATACATTGCGCAGTGATAATGCAAAAGAATATCTGTCAATTTCTTTTAAAAATAACATGACTCAGAATGGCATTCTTCATCAAACATCATGTGTTGATACTCCATCTCAAAACGGAATAGCAAAACGGAAAAAAAAAACATCTTCTTGAAACTGCCAGAGCCTTATTATTCCAAATGAATGTTCCTAAACCATTCTGGACTGATGTAGTTTCCACCGCCTGCTTTTTGATTAATCACATGCCGTCTTCTATCCTTCATGGTGAGACCCCGTACAGTATTCTTTTTCCTAACAAAGCATTATTTCCTCTTGAACCTAGGGTATTTGGTAGCACTTGCTTTGTTCGGGATGTTCGACCATCAGTCACTAAATTAGATCCCAAGTCATTAAAATGTGTCTTTCTTGGTTATTCTCGACTTCAGAAAGGATATCGGTGTTGTTGTCCAAGTCTTAATAAATATCTTGTTTTTATTGATGTTGCCTTTCTAGAAGACACACCATACTTTCCGTCCTCTCCTGCAGATCGTCAGAAGGATGATGATAATGATGACTTGTTAGTTTATACCTTCACTTTCCCTGCACTGATATCTGAACCGGCTCCCTGTCACTATTCTTGCGCTTCCTGCATCGGCTCCTATCTCTGATCCTGCTCTTATGAAATTCTACTCTCGTCGTCCACCTCCTCCTGTTTCATGTCCGACACCAACTTCTTCGTCATCCGATTCAGTTTCAAGTGATGATCTTCCTATTGCATTGCAAAAAGGTAAACGATAGTGTACTTATCCTGTTTCTTCTTGTGTTTCTTATGATCATTTGTCACATTCATCATGCTCCTTTATTGCTTCCCTTGATTCTATTACTATCCCTTAAACTGTTCATGAAGCCCTTTCTCATCCTGGTTGACGTAATGCAATGATAGAGGAAATGAATGCCTTAGCTGACAATAGTACTTGGAAATTGGTAGATTTACCTTCAGGGAAACAGGCAATTAGATGCAAATGAGTGTTTACAGTTAAAGTTAATCCAGATGGGTCAATTGCTTGACTAAAAGCTCATCTGGTTGCTAAAGGATATGCTCAGACCTAGGGGTGTTCAAAAGAACCGGTTGGAACCGGAACCGGCGGGTACCCTAGGTTTGGTTCCGGTTCCTACCCAGAACCAATCGTCAATGGGTAGGTTCCAGTTCCAAATTTTTGGAACCGTTACTATGCAGTTCCGGTTTTGGTAGTTAGAAACAGGAACCGGAACCAGGAACCAGGAATCGAAACTAATATAAAATAAAATTAAATATCAGGGGGTTAATAAAAACTTTTGTAAAAAAAGTAATGTGAATACATTTATATTTACATTTAATAACATTTAAAGTAAGTTGGTTTGACTTTTGAGAATCTACCTTTACAAAGTAATGGAGTTTGTAATTTTGAATTTATAATTTGTAATTTTATTTTTGTTAACAAGTGTCTGGTGGGGGGGTGTATTTGTAAGTTTTTAAGGGTTTTTTTTCCATTTTAAAAACTTTTGGGGGTTCATGTAATTTTACAGGGTACCTAGAACCGGAACCAAAACCGTTGTTACAGGTTTTGGTTCTGGATACCTAGGAACCGGAACCGGAACCGTAACCGTCGATTCCGGTTCTAGTTCCAAACTTCAAGGAACCGTCGGTTCCGATTCCGGTTCCTTCAAAAAGTGTAGGGTACCCGGAACCGAATACCCCTACTCAGACCTACGGAATTGATTATTCTAATACTTTTTCCCCTGTGCCTAAGTTCACCTCTATTTGGCTGTTTATCTCTATGGCAGCTACTTATGATTGGCCTTTGCATCAGCTAAACATCAAGAATGCTTTTCTTCATGGCGATCTTCAGGAAGAGGTATATATGGAGCAACCTCCTGGGTTTGTTGTTCTGGGGGAGTATGGGAAAGTATGTTATCTTCGCAAATCTCTGGATGGTTTAAAACAGAGTCCTCGTTCTCGGTTTGGAAAGTTTAGTGAGGCTGTTGAGAGATTTGGTATGTTGAAATGTAAAACTGACCATTCTGTTTTCTACAAACGGTCTGAAACTGGCATCATTCTTCTAATTGTGTATGTGGATGATAATGTTATTACTGGGAGTGATAGTGTGGGCATCACATCTCTTAAGTCTTTTCTCCATACCCAGTTCCACACAAAAGACTTAGGGATATTGAAGTATTTCTTGGAGGTTGAAGTTACAAGGAGCAAACGAGGTGTATTCCTCTCTCAGAGGAAATATGTGCCTGACTTATTAATTGAGACAGGGAAATTGGGAGCAAAGTCATGTAATGCTCCGATGGTTCCTAATATGCAGCTTACGAAAGATGGTGAACTATTTGGAGATCCTGAGAAATATAGAAGATTGGTCCGGGAGTTGAACTATCTTACAGTGACTCATCCAGATATTGCATATTCAGTAAGTGTTGTTAGTCAGTTTATGGCCTCCCCAGCAGTTCATCATTGGGCGGCTTTGAAGCAGATCTTGTGTTATTTGAAAAGAGCCCCTGGACGTGGTATATTATATGCCAATCATAGTCACTCTCATATTGAATGTTTCTCAGATGCAGATTGGGCAGGTTCCAAGGTAGATAGAAGATCCACATCAGGCTATTGTGTCTTTGTCGGAGGAAATTTAATATCATGGAAGAGCAAGAAGCAGAATGTCGTGTCACGATCAAGTGTAGAGTCGGAATATAGGGCTATGGCACAAGCTGTTTGTGAAATAATGTGGATATATTAGTTCCTGACTGAAATAGGCCTTGAAACTTCAGTACCAACGAAATTATGGTGTGATAACCAAGCGACTCTTCATATTGCATCTAATTCAATGTTCCATGAACGAACGAAACACATTGAGATCAATTGTCATTTCGTCCGTGAGAAACTACAGCAATGTCTGATTTCCACTGGGTACGTGAAGACTGGAGAACAGTTGGGAGATATCTTCACAAAGGCTCTAACTGGGATTCGAGTTAATCATCTTTGTAACAAGCTAGGTATGATTGATATCTATACTCTAGCTTGAGGGGGAGTGTTACAGATGTATATAACTTCTTAGATAATAGGGATTACATTGATATCCTGGATTATAGGGATCACATTGATATCCAGGATTATAGGGTTCACATTGATCTTGTATCCTAATAGGAATTGATCACCTACCTAGTTTAAAACACTACAAGTGTATATAAATATGTATACTTTTAATCTATGAATGAGAAGTGTGAATATTCTTCCTTAGTACGTTTTTACACTAATCAAAACAACCAAATAAAATATCAACACTTTTTTTCACGAATTCACATGAAATAATTTATTGCAAGAGAGAAAAAAACACTTAGAGGTCCCTCCATTAATCCCACATATGAAAACAACACCTTTTGGATATAATATACAATTATTATTTTTTTTTTAATTCTTTTGAGAAGAAAGAAATAAAGAGAATACTATTGATTGGAAAATTAATGACAGAACAGTGAACAAATTGTCCACAAAAGTTAGGATCCATTTAGAGGATCACAAAAAAAATCTATACAACAGAATGAAAAGCTCAAACAAAGCTCAGGACAATTCAAAAATCAACGTCAAGCACAAAATTAACCCAAAACCGCTTCCCATTGATTGTCTTGCTTAATAAAGGTACTTCAGAAGCATAAGTTCTTTTTGTAGAACTACTGATGCTGTAACTTAATTAACTATCTGACGAGCAGCATTTTCTCAAAAATGATACTCATAGGCATAGAGTTCATCCATGTTCATCCCACACACCAAGAAAAGGGAAAAAGGTAGGTACAAATTTTTTAATATAATAGAAGGCAAAGGTTAATATTTCCTAAACAGAAAAATTCCTTCCAAACTGGACAGGACACCCACTGAAAAGTTTAGCTAGACCACCTAAAACAATTCTTTGAGCAACATCTTCCCTGAGAGAGCAATATGATTAACAAAGTCTGAGGAAAAAACTAATTTTATTAAAATACAGAACTGGATGTTGCTCCTTGACACCATCATAGCCTCCATTGACTTAAGATAACAGCAGAATTTTCTGGGATACAAAACTTCCCCAATAGAAACCATACCTTGCGATTCTTCAGCTTCAGACCCATATCCATTGACTTCTCTTGGAGTATTTTTATGTCTGAACTTATAGAACCAATCTCAGACTAGAACAAAATTGCTAAAAGTGGTTAGTACTCCTGATCATACAAGATCTAATTAAAACAAGAACAAAGAAACACAGTTAAAAGAGGTGGCTCTCCCTTGAATAATAATAACCATAATAACAATATTACCAAGACAACTAAAAAGCTAAGCAACAAACTGTAAATAAACACCAGAAACCTATTTGAAAAATTGATGTAAGCAAAGAAGAATGAATGAGAGAGGATAATATTTGAAATATCCTGAATGTTCTTATCCAAATAAATGAATAAAGCCTCTAATGTGCGATTCTCAGATGCTAATAATGCTTGTATCAAGGATCATTATTTGGTATCATGTATGATACCAATGAATTCATATCCTGGGAGGGCTAAATTAGTAAAGAGTCCTTTTCAGCATTTTGTGTGAAGTGGAGATGCTCTCGAACTTGAACCATTTATGTGACATTTAGCAGTGACTTTTGCTATTCAACAGACTTTTACCACTAGTCATGGGTCTTGTGATATAAACAGAAAGTAAGACCATATTTTTTAAACCTTTTTCTTCGAGCTGCAGCAAATATGAAGCTAGTAGTTCTGTCAGCTATACCAAGCAATTTTAGAAATAGCAACTGATTGGTATATTCTTTGTGTGTCCTACAAAGTCCCTAACCTAATTTTATTATATGGAATGATTCAACCGCTCTGACAGCAATAAGTATTTTAGCATCCAGCATTCATTGTTACACAGATTCCTATCAAGAATAACAAAGAAAATTTCCTCTTGCTCCTTTCCTCCTCAACTTGGTAACAATTTGCAATCCATGACAGGTTCTACTACTGAAAATGTTGACCCTTTGCAAAACTTATTACTTTTTTTCAGTTGCAAAGTTGCATAAATAAGCATCAACTACTACATGAGAGTGTTCCATACAGCACTTACGAACTAAGGTCAAACAGGAGTTTCAAGTCACAACATTGGAACAACACTAATGTAATCAGTCATATATAATTCTTGACCTTCAGAACTTTACTATTCATTAACTAGCAACTAGTAAATACAAACATTCCTTAAAAAGTGTAACTGTAATACTTTTTTCAACAGTACAAATAAAAGCTGTTATCTCGAGACGATGAATGCAAGTTTTCTGGCTTGCCCAGCAAGAATTAACGTACCTGAAAACCGCTGAGAAGAGTCTCCATCTGTGACAAGATAGCATCGCAATCACATTTATCATGAAGGGACACCAAGTTATCACTTTCCTTAATATATCCTGCAGCATTGAAAAAGTTCTAGCATCAATCAATATAATTATAAATGAAAAACCATAAAAGTAAGATACAAGAAGATAATTAAAGAGCATCTCAGCTATACATAACCCTCACTGAGTGATAGGCACACCAGAAATCGAAGATAAGGAACAAAGGCATAAATGATTCAGTACAATTTTTTATAAAACACAGATAAAATAACTGAATTACTTTTGTTTAAAAAAAAAAAAAAAAATATGTGTAAAACACTTAAGTACTTGATCTTATCAATTGACACCACAGCATTACATACAAAGCATCTCAGCAAAGCAAAATAACCACGGACCTGAATAGAGTCCAACTCAACTTGGCGTAGATCATTCTCAACCCCCTTCGTGTACTCCCTTAGTGTGTACCTTTAGACAATATGTTTTCAACTACCTATATGAACACATAGACTCATACATTAAGGTATAAAATATGAAGTTAAGCAAAGTAATTATGGAAACAAATATAAAATACTAAAGACAGGATAGTGCAAACTTCATGTGGCAAGTACAAGAAGATCATAGTATGCAGACTTCGGACCAAACTACCAGATAATAAGAAATGTAATCCGACACGTTATTCCTTTTATTGATAAGTACTCTCAAATTTCTTAAAAGAATTAACTAGATAGTGCAATTTGTCGCTTCCTGTGTTCTCATTTAACAATTTATTTTATACTAACATCTGAATCACTTTGCTCTGCAAATACTTAAGACACTATAGGCAAAATTTCAACTCTGAGGAACAAGACAACCCTAATTTAACAAACATCAGAGATTATCTCTATCATACATCAAGATATCACAATTTTCCATAGTGTTTTCACACAATAATCATCATGAAAAAGCCAAGAAGCATACGAACTCATAGATCTAATCTATGTAGCCTATTGTACAAATTTACACCATGTCAACTCAAGGAGTCACAAACATTAAAGAACAAGATCACCCACCCTACTTTCACTGTTGTTATCCTCAACCAGCAGGATCCTATCTCAAACAGTAAGTTATAAATACAATGCTACCTTACCCTAGTTCCCCATATACCAACTAGCATGCAAAAACCACAAAAAACGAGATTATAGCTTCATAAAAAAACAACACAGAAGTTACTCACGTCATAGCTTTTACATTCTTCAAGCTCCTTCTCAGTCCTTCTAGTGATTATCATCTGCCAAAAACAACAACAGCAATCAACATCTTCACAAAAAATATCTAGTAGTCTGAACAAAAATACAGGACAGTTTACAACTCTTCCCTTACAGTTAATAGCACTCTCCTGACCTATCCCACAAACTTTTCCTAAGAATCTTCTAATCTCTAAAAAGGAAAGAAAATTTATTTCTTTTCCAGGTTACAAATTAAATTCAGTGCATCACTACATGATTGAAAGAGAGTGACACTTGGTCACCGGCAAAGGCTTCCAAAGTACCCTCTCAAGTTTCCAGCCATTTCCAAGATTTCAGCACCTCAATCAACTCACCCAAGAACTTACAATCACCCACCATTTATTCCTTATTTTATGCTAGTTTAACTAACTATTGTTACTCAAACATTCAGGAAAACTTGAGAATAGTCAAATTCTCTGAAACACATATCAAATCTTAAACAAATCAACGAACAAAATTCTACATAAATTATACAAAAAAGCTTCTACATTTCTTAACTTACCCACTTGCATCTTCCTCAAAATTCAAGTCCCCCACAATGCGCCTAAATCAAACACATTTGTCTGGCATCGTTGCATCACCAAAGAACCACCCTACATACAATAAATTTTGTTATTTAAAATCCCAACAAACAAACTATCCCAATTCTCATTAAGGCCAAAGCAATTAACACTTCACAAATAAAAATTACCACTGGTTTTGCCACAACATCTGCCATCTTCAACGTGCACAACAACAGCTTTACCTGCACAAATTTTAATTTTTTTTCAAAGAACTTCAAAATTAAGTGAAAAAAATCGAAAATAAGGGTAGTCGTTTAATTGCTGTTTACCTAGAATCGGAACGATTCGCATTCAACAGTTGAACGAAGTTGAATTTGAATTTTCAATCTCAGATTCAGATCAAAAGAGAGTTTCAGATCTTCAGTTGCTGAGGTGAAGAGAAAACCCACATGATTATTTTGCAAATGAAACAAGCCAAAAGTCACTTGCCCTAAAACTCATTCAATTTAGTAGCCATCATGTTAATCAAACATTTAATTAAACATGAAACTCATAACACACCATCACCATAAACAAACTAAAAAGATAAATGGTAAAATAAGCTCTATGATAGCAATTAATGAATAAACATAATTGTTATATGAATTTTGCTGAATCAAAATTAAATTTCAAAGCAAGCCCCATCAGAATTTCCATCAAAATTATGCACAAACAATCGATACCAATATACGAAGTAAACCCACATCAGAACATGCAGAATTCCGATCATAATCTGAAAAATTAAAACAAACCCCATCAAAATTCGCCTAAAAAACCACAAAACAAAATGCCAACAATTGATCCAGACCATGTGAGAATCAACCAAAATAAAGAAATGAAACAAATCAAAATTACAAAAAGCTAACCAATTTGGCATTGATGTTTTGTTTCCGGCGGTGGCCATAAGGACGAGATCAAAATCAGAACAAAAGGAATAAAGAAAGAAATGGAGAAAATGCGAGGGTTGACGAGGAAACAGAAAGATTAAAAGGAAATGGGAAGGTTCCTCAACAACAACCCTTCTCTCTCTTCTTCTCTCTAAGGAATCTAAAGGTACCGGAAAGCGATTGCTTTTATTTTATTTTATTTATTTTATGTTTTAAGTTTTTAATTAAAAATGAAAATGTTTTTACAGTAATAATTATTATTAATTTATCATTTTACTTAAAAAAAACTATTTAAAGGTTATTTTGATTTTTTGTTTTATAATTGGCGTACAAAATAATTAAGGATGTTCTGGGCTGTCATTAATTATATTTCTGAAAAATATGTATAATTTGGGAAATTTTTAAAAAATAAATTATTCTAGTAAATTTTTTTTTCATGCAATCAGATAATTTATGCACGTTTGGATTAAAAAAAAAATTTTAAATTTTTGAAATAAAAATTAAATTCTTTACCATTCATATACTCAATAACATAATTATTAAACATGTTTAATGTGGCAAACGTCATTAAACATAATGTTTGTGGCTACTAGAGATAAAATATCGAAATTCTCTGATGTTTTTCTCAGGCCCATAAAGACGCACACATCGACTTGAACTATCAACGTTTAGAAAGACTCGTAATTGGCCTAAACAGTATTACTAAAAAAAGATCATTGTTTGGAGATGAGTTTTAAATGCACTCCTTGAATTGAAATCATCTTTAATTCAATTTTCATTTCTTAATTCTTGTTCTTAGTAATTATTAAGGCCAAAGCAATTAACACTCCACAAATAAAAATTACCACTTGGTTTGCCACAACATCTGCCATCTTCAAACGCGCACAACAACAACTTTACCTGTACAAATTTTAAATTTTTTTCAAAAGAACTTCAAAATTAAGTGAAAAAATCGAATAATAAGAGTAGCATTTAATCACTTGTTTACCTAGAATCGGAACGGATTCACATTCAACATTTGAACAAAATTGAATTTGAATTTTCAATCTTCAGATTCAGATCAAAAGAGAGTTTCAAATCTTCAGTTGCTGCATTCTTCATCACTTTGCTGAGCTATTGTGACTATTCTTGTTGTCTGATTATTTTATTGGTTTCCCTGGGCTTTTAATGAAGAAGAAGCAAAATGATTTATGGGCCTTTATGGAGCAGCTCTTTGATTTGGGTCAGTCTAGGACTCTCGACTAGACCAAGTTGTAGAGGTTGGTTGTGAATAGACCTAGCAAAACAGGCGGGTAGGCCAGGTTGGGGTCGAGTCCTAATGGGTATGGGTCTCACAGGTACGGGTCCAAAACGGGTAAAATTAAACGGGTCTAAAATGTTAGACTCAGACCCCATCATATGCGGGTACAGGTGGACCCGCTGGTGCTCGTTTTTTCTCTCTCTAATTTTCAATTTTTATAGTTACACCCCCAAAATTTCTACGATTTTCATTTTTTACAATTACACCCCCATATAATACTACACCAAATAATATCCTCGATTAAAACAAAACATCTATTAAAAATTCATAAATAATTTCCTACTCCACCCAAAGTCAATCCCAGATGTCCAAGTCTATTTTACTGCATTTATTGTCTATGTTTCTCGATAAACTCAATTACTCAAACTTCCTCCTCCGAATATCCTACTCAACCCAAAGTCAATCCTAGATTCCCAAGTCCATTTTACTGCATTTATTGTCTACGTTTCTCCATAAACTCAAACTTCCTCCTTCGAATTTCGCCATAACTGCAAATTCTTCATCACTCTCATCAAGTGAAAATCACTTTTGCGAAAGAAAAATCTAGCCATGGAGACAGGAGAAATGGAGCCAGGAGAGTGGACAATGGAGACAGGAGAAGCGGCACTGACGATGAGAGACGGATGATGACAATGAGTCTTTAAGAGAAGGCTAATGAGAGATGACGTTTGAGAGAAGGCTAATGAGAGATGACATTTGAGAGAAGGCTGATGAGATGAGAGACTGAGTTTGAGAAAAAGTTAGGGATTCATTTGGGTTTCACGATTGGGGGCAAAATGAAAGGGAAAGGGAAAGGGTTTTTTAATTTTTTGGATAAAAAACGGGTACCCGTGGGTGGACTCATGTGACCTGCTGGCAAAACGGGCCAGTCCGAGTACAGGTTGATACAAAACGATTTGAAGTTTAAAGACCCACACCCTGTATTATTTTCCCAAGTTTTGGATCGGGTCTAGTTGTGAATGACAGGCTCTCCCTTCTCCTTGGCCATGGGCTGAACGTGGAGGATTCTTTTGGGCTTGTTACTTGTAGCTTGTACAACTTTTTGACTTTCTTTTTGCCAAGGCCTGGTTTTTGTTATGGGCTTTGATTTTAATGGATTGTATCCTTATGTCTTTTTACGAGTATTTGATTGTATTTGTTTAATTCTTTTTATGCAATTATCGCTTTACCTGAAAAAAAAATTATTTTATTGATTTATTGAATTAAGTATGGAAATCATATGTGATATTTTTCATATTTCAATTATTCTCATGATAAGAAATAATGTATTTAATAGTGGGAATGTACAATGAATCATTGATTTTTATACTGTTTGAAGCATACATGTTGAATTATCTATATTTTTATTCCCATGATTTATAATTTATTATTACTATTATTAGTTTATATAAAAATGAATAGTTGCATATGTGTGGGAATATCATTAAAGTAAATTTATGAGCATGTTGTTAAATACATGAATTTCTTGTTTGGAGTATCTATGGGTGAGATAAGTCATAATTGCCCAAGCAGTCTATTTATTGATATTTATGAATTTCTAGATCTTTTCCTTGGGAAATTTACTTCTCTATATTTTACATATATAACCTACCCAAAAGGGTTCTTATGTACTTTACAATAGAAGCATGAATTAATCAAGAGTATTCTACATGTACAAACTAATTATACAAACTATTCTCCACAAATTGATGTGACACATTATCTCCTCTTATTTGTTAAGTTTATCTCTAATTTAAAGCCTATGTTCTTTTCCTCTTCTTTTTAATTTATTCATTATGTTGAATGGTTGTAATGTTGTTTCATATAGAGCAAAACAAGCAGGGGAGAAAACCTTGGTAATTATATCTGAGTGAATCTCCACAAGTTGAAAATAGTTGATGTAGAACCTTGCAAGTTCCCACATAGTGTATAGCCTTCTTCTCTCTCTCCCTTTCTTAAGTGGATGCTGAATGGTACAATTCTTGATGAAGGTTTTCCATCTAGGGTTTTGGGGTTAGAGGTTAGGGTTTTGGGGTTTTCGGTTTAGAGGTTTAGGGTTTTTTAGGGTTTTAGGGTTTAGGGCTTAGGGTTTTGGGGTTTCGGGTTTTCGGGTTTAGGGTTTCGGGTTTTCAGGTTTCGGGTTTTAGGGTTTCGGGTTTAGGGTTTAAGGGTTAAGGGTTAGGGTTCAGGGTTCAGGGTTCAGGGTTCAGGGTTCAGGGTTCAGGGTTTACGGTTCAGGTTTTAGGGTTCAGGGTTTACGGTTCAGGTTTTAGGGTTCAGGGTTCAAGGTTTAGGGTTTAGGGTTTAGGGTCTGGCTCTGATACCACTGTAAGGAAACAATCTAACAAACGTAGCAGAGAAACAAAAATTTAAAGCATAGATCGATTCCTTTAAAGCCAAGATCAGAGTACAAATTATACAGTTTATAAGTTAAATCAAAATTCTGTAGTAACATTAACGATCAAAGTAAAGATTAGAGTTCATACACACGTTTAGAGGCTCCTTCAAACTTGTCTTTGACTAGGATTTGCTATCGATTCAAAATAAAATCGAACCAGCAGTAGTCTATATGAAGATAACCCGAATAGCTAAAGAGGGATTTGCTAGATCCTCTTTAGCTTCAAGAACCAAATTGAATCAAAGAAAACTTTGATTCAATAAACCAAAGGTGGTGTGAGAGTAGAGAGAAATGGGAGAGAGGGCTGCCTCCTTTCAATTATTTAATAATCACAAAAATTAATTTACCACATAAATCACAAAACACGTGCACTTATATAGCGCATGTGAAACCCTATTCCAATGAGGAATAAGCTTGGGCTCCAACCCAAACAACCCTTATCTCCAAACACTCCCAATCATGATATTTTATTTTAATAATATTATTTTAATTAAAATCAATTAATATATTTATTAAAATATATTAACATTTAATAATAATAATAATCCATTTAAATATATGTGTACATATATTTAAATATAATCTCACTTATTTAATTTTAACATCAAATTAAATATAGGCAACAACCTCAGCAAATTTAATTGCATTGTGAGATTACCAAAATACCCTTTCGCCCTAAAAGATGAAGACAGCTCTTGCACAAACTGATTCTTAAATTATCTTCTATGTGTGTGACCCGTAGGCTCCTCATCATACCGGTAGTAAGTAGTATTGCGATTAACACCAATTAATCGTCTTACTACACATAGACCAAGATTGGCCCCTAGCAAGGCATCATGGCCACTTGATAGATTCCGATTCAGCAAAATAGCTACCTGTCAACGATATGGTTACCATGCAATCAAATCCTTTCATCATCTGTTATCTCATCGAGACTAGGGTATAGAAATAGTGTCAACCTTAGTTTACTCTCAATATATCTGTATTCAGTTACTAGACCAATGATCAAAATAATGAATTGGATTGAGCAACAACTCAATCCCACTATGATCATAGATTTATTATCATTATCATTAACTGAATTGCGTCGTGAGATAACTTCTCCCATACCCAGGAGTGATGAATCCTTTGTCGATCCACCATAGTCTTGATACACTCCTCGATGCAGCCAATCACTACCGTATTGACAGCTCTGAATAGAACTGCATTGGGCTAGTGTCAAACTACACCAATCGGTGCACAAGACACGCTGATGATCTCAAGTCTAAGGATCACATGCACCACCATTTGTTAAAGGATTTGTTCTATAGACATTGGGGTTACCATCGATATGGGATCCTCTGGTGGGTCAATCTAGTGAACTTGCTTACAATAAGCACCTATGTGTTGCACCAGGTTGTCAACAAACGACAAGTGAGATCAGTCACTACCTTTGGATAGGGTCGTTCAACACTATGATAGCCTTACCGT